GGGGGGGGATTAAACACATATGAGACCATATTTTATTTATAGACATATGAACAATAATTTAACAGCAGCGAAGACCTATTGCGCACGCAGTAAAAGCAGAAAGTATTGCTACACGGAGAAAATATTGTAGTAAAAATTACAATACGATTTTGGTAGTCTGGGAATAGACTGTTACGAAAATTATAATAAAACATAGTAAAAATAATTATAAGCATGCTAATTTTTACATTTATGGTAATTTTTATTATATTCATGGTTACACTTTTACTATGTCTAATTATAATTTTCATCATAGTGTCAGTTTAAGAGTACTAAAATTGTTTTTCAATATTTAACATAAAGGACAATTAGAGTTCAAGCACAGGTTGATTAGTGTTATTAAAACTATTAAAAAATAGTGACCCAATTTGACAAAGAGACAATTAGACCGAAACGCGTTTGATAAGTAATAAATTTCGTCTCTTTGTGAAATTGGGTCACTATTTTTTAATAGTTTTAATAGCACTAATCAACCTGTGCTTGAACTCTAATTGTCCTTTATGTTAAATATTGATATACTCAGGAAGAGTTTTTAGTTTTATTAGTTAAAATTGTTTTGTAATTCTTACTACAATATTCTTTCCATGTAAAATAAAATTGTCGTCATTCTTAAAATTAAGAAAAAGAAGAAAGGAGCAAAACTATTATATTTACTAGAACTGCGAATTTTCTTTAGAAGCTTCTGCTTGTCAGAAACACTATAAAAATCCTCCGAACCAGGACAGTTTGTTCGGAGATGGAAAGATTGTCCTGATAAAAACGGGACGCCTCAAAGGAGAGGAGATTTTGGCCGTGTCGCGTCGACGCAGATAAACGCGCGAAATCGACGAGCGCGTCGCCGGCCGGCTATAATCTCCCGGCCGAGTCGCTGCTAATTGCACATTGCCAGTGCAGCGAGGTCACCAGGAAGTCGCTATCTAAGTCAGGACTCGGATATCTCCCGCGCTCTTTATGACAAACAGCTGTTCGGGCTGAGTCAGAGTCGCCGCGGCCTTGGCGGTACCGTACCAGAAGATTAGCCGTGAGTTCCGTCATTAACCGTGAAACGAAGGCGCGCCACGTCGCGCCGCGCCGTCTCGCGCCGTGTAAGGTGCGCGAGAAATTCGAAAAATGTCAAAATCGCCGGCGCTTCCGCCTCGTCGATCCCACGACCCTTTCGGATGCGTTTGCCGCGCACGGGACGGCGGCTAAGAGGCGGAGGGAGGCGAAGGGGGAGTCGGTCTGTTTACTCGATATTTAATCGCCTTAATCATCGCGCGAGCGCGCAGCCAACGTCCGTCCGCGAGATTCTATAATCGCGACGCGCTAATTGATAAAATTAATTGCGCGACATTACAGCGGTTATTGCGATAACGGCAAAAGACGAGGAGGGCACGAGGAAGAAAGAGGAGACGAATGTGTTTAATTATGCCCCGAGATACCGTGCTCTGTCCGTAAGCAGCGCGATACCACAGGATATCTGATGCCGCCCCTCTAACTGCGTTTTCCCGCATTTCCCGCAATCAAATCGGGATGCATTTGAGGAGAGATACGTAGGGACCGATAAAGACTGTAGAAGGGTACGGAGAACGCGGCTAATGGAAATAGTCATTTGGTAACGATAGGCCAAATGCAGTAACTGTTGCAAACGCATATTAAATGTCCGAATGATTAATAAGAGACGTCAGCAACGAATGAGGATCTTGTAGATCAAGTTGAACTGTTGGAAAGGGACCCGGTAGCTGCGCAGTTAATTGAAATAAACTCTCGACGAGAGGAGAGCGAGACAGTTTCTTCTTCTTCTCTTCTACGAAACGGTCTCGATCGATGTTTATGCGAATTGCTGCTCCGCAACGCGATCCGAGTCTGGCCCGCCGACGGCGTATTCGCTGTGTCACACGACGGCTGACCCACTCACCCGTCTTGGAAAGAGATCGATAATGCACGAGCCGCGATATGTTTTGACAGGCCGCGATAATTTCCGATGCCGGTCGGACAATGCTAGGTTTGTGTCGACGCGGCAGCAGACGATTGCGGAGCAGCGTCGTCGCCGCTTCAAAATTGCATCGCGAAAAGTGCGACGTTCGGCATTAAAAGTAAACCTCATAAATTCGCTAATCTTCCGATAAACGTTCACGAAGGGAGAAAGAGAGAAAAAGAAGCAGAATGAATATCTTCTTCTTCACTTTTGACCTAGAATTTTTATTCCATTAACTAATCTTATTTAAAAAATAAAGAGAATATATCGTATATTCAATGAAATATCATTCTCCAAAATCGAATGACTTTTTTTTAGTGAAAACTATCACTCCAGAATATTTAGATAATTAGAATAGATAGGAATCGTGAGAACGATCGAGTTACTCTTTCTCACTGCTCTCGAGATTCATCAAATTGAAAAATATCACCGTTCTCCCACTCCACCACGATACGCTATCTATTTCTCTAATTACCATTACATTTCTAAGACGCGATATGGACATTTTTCCGCATCATCCGTCGTTTCTTCGACACGGTCGATTTGGTAAAGAAACTTTTACTGTCGCTCCGTTCGCGAACGCAACTCGTTCGCGCACAAGTGCGTTTTGCTCGAGGGGGAGAGTGAGAGGATATTTCTTATCGATGAAGTAGCGCGCGTGCACGCGTCGTCGTATCGCGCGAGAGTGGTGAGGAAATGTAGTAGTAGTGCAAGAGAATCGTGAGAAAAAGACGACGGAGAGGAGGGACCTGAAAACCCAGATAGCGCGCATAATGTCGAAAGACAATAACGATCGGCATGATTCACGGGACGTGATAAAAGCGGCGTACACCGTAATTGCGCCTCGCACTTTGGCCCTGCTCACTAACGACACGTGAATGGCGCACAACACTTTTTCACTGCGTCGCCGTGAACGCGTTATCGTTATTACAATTGGAACGTCTTTGGAAAACGTGATGCGTACTTACGATGTTAAAAATGACGCGCAACACTTTTTCACTGCGTCGCCGTGAACGCCAGATATCGATATTACAATTGGAACATGTTTGGAAAACGTGATGCATGTTTACGGTGTTGAAAATGACGCGTCATTGATAAAGGTTTCTTCTAGAATAAAAATGGGAAATAATGAAATGATGAAAATTGCGAAAAATCGCAGGAATGAAAGTTACGGAATTTTTTATTGTCATGTAAAAATAATAATAATAATAATAATTTTTGTTTGGACTATTCCAAAGAAATATTTATTTGATTCAATAAATCGTTCTCTTTGCGTAGACGTTACTGTTCGTAAAAACATATATTTTATTTTTTCATTAGAATTCTTTTATCTTTATTTAATTGTGAAAACATTAATAGATTCATATTCTTCCATGTTTTTTATGCGATTAAAAAAAATATTGAATTTTGACCGTTTTTTGATATTTTTAATATTTTTAATATTAGAGTCTTCTTCAAGTATGAAAATTCTCATTTTAG